TTTATCCTAGAGAGGGTGAAACCAGGCTGCTCCTTGGAGCCAATAATTCTGAAGCTCCATCTCACATACTTTGGTCATGGCGAGGATGGAGCAGTCCTTGGAGAATGACATTATGCTTGGAATGATGGAGGGACAGTGAAGGCAAGGAAGACCACAGATGAGACAGATTGACACAGTAATTGGGATAATGGGGGCAGGTGTGTTGGAGATAGTAAGACTAGCTCAGGATAGAGCAGGGTTCAGAGCTATTGGGCTATGAGTCATAATCGACTCAATGGTACATAACAATAGTCACATATATTTTAACTAAAAAAAATTACATCTATCTAACATGTCAAAAGAATTGGCTGACAAAGAAGACTCTCATGAAACATATGATCAAGAGGCAGTGGTGATGAAGGTGGAAGTTAGAGCTGCTCTAAAGGAACTGGCTAAAAACAAGGACTCAGCAATTGATGGAATACAAAATAACACATTTCAAGAAACAGATGTACTTGTAGACTTGCTCACCAGGCTGTGTCAAGAAATTTGGAGGACAACTGCCTGGTCAACCGACTAGAATAGATCTGCATTTATTCCTATTTCAAAAAAAGATGATCTGATAGAGTGTGGAAATTATTGAACCATATCAGCAATACCACATGCAAGCAAAATCCTGCTGAATATTGCTTAAACAATCAAAAGATTAATTGCATTAGGAAAATCAGGGATCTCTCCAGAGTGCTGAGGAGCAATGATATCAGTCTAGAGACTAAGGTGTGCCTGGTCCAGGCCATGGTCTTCACAATTTAAAAAAAATTTTTTTTTTACTGAGATGTTAATGAACGTTTATGAGAACTTGGATTTCCATTCATTCACTGTTACATATTTTTCTACCTATCCTCCCGGTTCACTTTTCTCTTCAAAAAATTCTTATATTGTTGTACAATTTTCTCCCTCACCCCCAGTTCCCTTTGCTATTCTGGAGTGTTGTCATGCAAATAATACCTAATCATATTATTCCTTTTAAACAGTTCTTTCCCTAGTCTTCACAATCTTTTGCTATGCATGAGCGAGCTACACAATGACTAAAGATAATGGAAGAAGAAATGGTGCCTTTGAGTTGTGGTGTTATTGAACATACCATGGACCGCCAAGAGAACAAACAGGTTTATCCTAGAGAGGATGAAACCAAGTTGCCCCTTGGAGGCAAGGATTTCGAAGCTCTATCTCATATACTTTGGGCCTATTTCCAGGAGGGACCACTCCTTGGAGGAAATCATGCTTGTAAGGGACAGCACAGGAGAGGAAGACCCTGGATGAGATGGGTTGACTCAGTAATTGGGGTAATAGGGGCAGGTGTGTTGGAGGCAGGGAGGCGGGCTCAGTTTAGGGCAGGGTTCAGAACTATTGTATGAGTTGTAGTAGTTGACTCAACGGCATATAACAAAAACACACCTGTGTTTTCAAGTCCTGATCTCCTGCCCCATTAGCACCATCAATCCCAGACACGTGGAAGCCAGCAGCTGCCTTTACTGCTGACGGATAGCACCCAAGTGCCACCTCAATGGGCAATTTTTCAAGTGTGGAAATAGGACTAATGTGGAGTCTAAATCATCCACTTAGTGCGAGGCTCTGACAACGATAATGGTGCAAATGTTCTCCCCAAATCTCCACCAAGAGATGTCAAGGGCCGGTGTTGAACACTATTTTTAGAGGCTAGCCACACACACATTATTCATTAAGTGCTAAAGTCTTACTGCTGAACTCCATGGGACTGAGGCATCATTTGTCTCCCCGATGAAATGCTGTCACTGTCCTGCTGCTATCCCTGCTGGCCAGCCAGTACTCACAGGCTAAGTGCAGAGTTAAACATTCTGACCCCTGGTCTCCATCTCATTTCATCTCAGGCCACTCTTCACCCACCCTCATGCTCCCCCTCTAAGCTCCAGACACAAGCAGCCCACAGTCCCTGAACACAACTAGGCCACTTCTGTCTCTGCAGAGCAATGTCTCACTCTGCTTCCTCCCTAAAAAGCAACCAAACTCAAAAAGTCAAGTCATTTCGGACACAGTGACCCTTCAGGAAGGATAAGGTCGAACTGACCACAGGCTTCCAAGGCTGTGATCCTTACGGAAGCAGACTCTCTCCATGTTCTTCTGTGGTGTGGTTGATGGGTTTGAGCCACCCACCTTTAGTTATAAGTCAAGCTTTAAATTACTGCATTTCTAGGGATCCTCTGGGAACTCCCACACACCCTGTAAGATCTGTCTTCCTCTACCAGGGAGTGTCTGTAGGCAGCCTCAGACAGTAAGAGCTCTGCATGGCCGACACCACACAGCAGTCATTTTCTGCTCTGACTCGCCTTCAATGCCTTCTTTGTAGTCTACACGCTGTGGAGCTGAGAAAGATACAGAGTGGTACAGTCAATGCTCAACACACGTTTGCCATAGTGATCTCTCTTTCAAAACACCGTGCCAGACCAAGTAGGAGAGCCCTAATAAGACCACACTCCCTAAATTACAATTCCTCCTTATGCAAAACACAGACAAAACAATAACAAAAACCACCAATCCCTCTCTAATGTGCAAGTCCAAAGAACAGGCTCCTTTCCAACTGAAAATGCTTTCAGCGATAGCTCACTTCCACTCCAGTCATTTATGAAGCCCTTTAATTCTCCTGGTTTTACCAAGTTCCCCATGAGTCTTTATACCTGGAAATCATTCCACGCCAAAGCTGCTTACTATATCTGTTTCCTGATCTGTTCTTTTTTCTTCCTGAGCTCAATCAACTTCTCTGCTTGACGCCTGCTTCCTTCTTTCTCAGTGGACATTTTGTAGGGTACAGGCGAATGTGAAAAGAAGACTCATCCCCCTCAGGCTTGAAGTGTAACTTGTTTAAAGGGAAACTGATGATAAATACAGAGGGTGTCAGCCTTCTTCTACTGAAAGAGGCAACAGGGCGACCAATTAGGTAAACCTAACAAAAGTTGTTTCATAGGTTGTGCAAGTGACTCAACTACCCAAAAGACTGGTGGCTGGAACCCAGAGAAGCATCCTGGATGGCAGGCCTGGTGATCTATTTCTGAAAATCCATCACGCTGTTCTACTTTGCACACTCAGGAGAAGATGACCGTGAGTCACAATCAACCAGATGGCAACAAGTCACTCCTTCAAAAGAGGGCTATTCCTTCCCCATCTTTCTCACTTCTGGTTCCCAAGCTAGTTCTAAAACTGAGAACAGATCTCACAGGTCCACACTCAGGTTTGAAAGGTCAGAGGTCAGACCTTTATCATAGCGCTATGTATCACTGACGATATATCAGGGACAGGGTCTGTTCCACCACAGCACCCCCACAGCCTGGCATACAACAGACCTCCAACAACTACCTGCATGAACAAACCTGGGGCCACATGCATAAGGTTACAAAACGTGAGAAGCTTTATCGAGTGCATGGTCGCTGTGTGGGAGAAAGGACAAAAGTCCTGCTGCTCAAGAAAAAAAAAAAAGGACCAGGAATAAGTCCCTCGTGGCCCTAACAAGGTACAGGTGACTTGACTCTCAGCCTCTGTGCAGGCCTGGGATGCGGGCTTGGGGATTGCCCTGAACTTTCCCCCTGACCGTTTGCAAAGCCTTGGCTGCAAAGGGGTAAAGTAACTAATGGCAGCATTAGTTGGGGCGAGGGTGCACCCCGGCTGGAATGCCACGTGCCACCAACAAACAGGTCAGAAACAAGACAGAACCAAATTCCCACATCTCTCCGGGAAGATCAAAAAAGCAAGGATGAGAAATGGCAGTAAACGGAGACGGAAAACTTGCTGGAGAGTCAGCTACGGGTGGGTTTGGACTTCACGGCACATGACAGCAGCTACGTGGCTGGAGGAATGAGAAAGAGAAGTTGGGACAGCACTGGTGTCAATAATATTACGGACGAGACCCAGGAAGAACTGAAGTCTTTGGACTGTGCTGAAAAGGAGTATGAATTTCCCAACAAATCTTGGGGGGAAAGTGCCACCTGAATGCTCCTTAGCAGCGAAGGCTGAGACGTGTTTCGTACAGGGGGCTCGTCCTTGGCAAGGAGGGAGTGGGAGAGGCCACGGGAGAGACAGACCCTCATCCACATGGACGAACCCAGTGGCTGCAACCAGAGGGCTCAAGCCCAGGACCGCGTGTGAGGAAGGCCAGCCCAGGGTTTCTGGCGCACGGGGTGACCAAGGGTCGGAGCCTACCTGGGGTTACCTGACCACAGTAGCCCCCCTGCTAACGCACCTTCCACGCACGCACTCAGTGCTCTCACCAAGCCAAAGGGGAAGAACCCAGACCGAGAAGCAGAACTGGGAGGGAAGCCGTCCACGCACACATTTAACGGACACTGAGCGTCTGCTGCTGGGGATGTGCCAGGAGCTGGCGGGCAGGCGTAGGGGCTGGGAGGCGGCGGGGCAAAGACTCGAACCCGGGCAGCACTGGGCCGGGACAGCCGGGGGCCGGGGCAGAGAGGGCGGGCACGGGAGGGACGGGGCAGACGGCGCGAGGCGGAGGGCCGGGGGATGCTGTCGAGGCCCCAGGCGGCTCCCATCGGGCACAGCCGCTCCAGGTGTTACTGCATCTGGTCATCTGCCCACCCCGAGCCGAGTCGGCGCGCCGGAGGACTGGGCGCAGGGCAGCGGAGAGAGACCCTGAGGGACTGGGCGAGGGGACGGTGGCCCGGGGACCCTGGCGGGGCGCAGCGCCGGCCGTCCGGGGCGTGGGGGCCGCCCGCGACGCCGAGGACTCACCTCCCGCGGCGGCCCCTCCGGAGTCGTCGGTCCGGCAGGGCCGGAGGAGGCGGGATGGAATCGGCGCCGCGGGGGCTGCCGGGAGCCCGTTGCTCGGCAACGGAGTGGGCACCGCCGAGTAGCAGCCGGCTCCGCCCGGAGCTAGAGCAGCCGAACCACAGCCAGAGGCGGGGCTCCGGAAGTGACGTGAACTTCCTGCGGTGGGCGGGGCTGCGCGGCTCAATTCCGGAATCTTCACCGGCAGCATGGAAGGTGAGTGGTGAGCTTGGCGTGTGGTGGGCCGGGGAGGCTGCGAAGGTTCCTGGCCGTGTTGTCCCAGACCGGGCCGGGGAGGCTCTAGCGATTGACTGAGGACTTGTGCGCCGGCCCTCTCCGGCCTGCTGGAGCCGCTCGGGTTCGCCCAGCCACACTTATGTGGCAGTTGACAATGCAGTGACATGATTGACGTATGCAGAGCTCCTGATGCACCAGTTGCAGTTCTCAGTATTTGTAAATTCGCATTCGCAGAACACGCCGGGTTTCATACCTTGCATGCCCAGCTCCTCCTAAAGAGTCCTTGGAGCTCCTCAATCAGAAGTACCTGCCTGTAACGTTTTCTGTAATTGAAGCTATTCAGGCGATGCTCACGCTGTACTTTACATTGTTATGTGCCGTCGAGTCGTTTGCGACTCATAGCGACCCTATGTACAACAGCGCTAAACCCTGCTCTGTCCTGTGCCAATCGCACTGTCTCTGACACTCCCATCCCAATTATCCCAGTCACTGAATCAATCCACCTCCTAGAGGGTCTTTTCCCCCTGTGCTGTCTGTCCCTCCACCCTCCAAGCATGATGTCCCTCTCCAAGGACCTCTCCCTCCTTACAACATGTCCAAAGTATATCAGACGAAGCCCCAGAATCCTTGCCTCCAAAGAGCAGCCTGGATTAACCCTCTCCAGGGTGGATCTGTTTGTTTTCTTGGAAGTCCATGGTACATTCAATACTCTTCTCCAGCACCACAGCTCAAAGGCATCAATTCTCCTTCTATCCTCCCTCGTCATTGTCCAACTCTCTGACGCATAACAAGTGATTGCAAAGACCATGGTCTGTATCAGAGTACCTTAGTCTCCAGAGAGACACCATTGCTCTTCAGTCCTTTGGAGAGGTCCCTAACAGCAGACTTTCCCATCGCAATACGTCTTTTAATTTCCTGGCTTCTGATGCCAAGAGTCTTGACTGTGGAGCCAAGCAAACTACAGCTGTGAACAATCTCAAGCTCTTCACTATTCATCCTGATGTTGCCAATTGGTCCAGTGGTGAGAATCTTTGTCTTCTTGAAATTGAGCCTCAATCCATATTGAAGGCTGCAGTCCTTGACACTCTGCACCAAGCATTTCAGGTCCTCCTCAGTTTTAGCAAGCAGGGTTGTGTCATCTGCATAACACAGATTGTTGATAGATCTTCCACCAATCCTGACGACACACTTCTCCTCATAGAGCCCAGCCTCCCGGATAATCTGTTCTGCGTACAGGTTGAAAAGGTATGGCGATAGGACACATCCCTGGTGTACGCCCTTCCCAATTTTGAACCATGCAGTGTTTCCTTGCTCTGTTCTGACGACTGCCTCTTGGTCCAAGTATGTTGTTGTTGTTGTTATGTGCCGTCGAGTCATTTGCGACTCATAGCGACCCTATGCACAACAGCCCTAAACCCTGCTCTATCCTGCGCCAACCGCACCGCCTCTGACACACCCATCCCG